CACCGCAATCCTTTCTCCTCCATTCTCCTCTCAGGATCTTGGACATGGATGCACATGTGCCTGGCGTGAGTTTAAGTCACTGGGTCTGGGACTCGAACCGTGGTCGACTGTTTGGAAGTCCAATGACATAGCCATTACACCAACTGCTGGTCCCTTCTTTTTTTCCCTTTAAGAGTAATTTACCCCATACTTAAAGACAGATTGCCCTATATGTAATAGCTACGTACAAAAAAGTTATAAAATTGTCTGGTTTTACAATGATAAATGAAAAACATTAAAATTCTTCAATCAAACAAGATATGCAAGGATTTTTATGTTGTTGGTTTTTTTTTTTTCTTTTTGTTAAAACAGTGAGAGCAAAATAGCTTACTAGAATATAAAGATAAGAGCTGAATGAGCATGCCACTAATGGAGAAAGGGGTATTTTCACAGAATCAGTATTTTCTCCTATCCCATCTCCATTTGATGTCAATCAAAACATACCATTGGTGAGACCAGCAGTTAGTATAATGGCTAAGTTACTGAACTCCCATGTAGTCGACTGTGGTTCGAGTCCCGGACCCGGTGGCTTAAACTCATGCTGGGCGTGTGTGCGTGCATGCCCAATATCCTGAGAGGAGAATGGAGGAGAAAGGATTGCGGTGCGGCCATCCCCCCTGGGGGGTGATTTCTCACTTTCTGTCTCTCTGTCTCTCTGGCGAGTGCATGCGCCCAATAACAAAAAAACTCTCCAAAAAAACCCACAAAACAACAACAAACAAACAAGCAAACAAGCAAACAAACAAAACATACCATTGGCCATTTAGTTAAAAAAAATGCAATATGCTTGTGCACATACACCAGTTACTTTATGTACAACAAAGGAATGCGGAAGGGAAAATGGAAGCATAGAGAAAACTATACTGTAGAAGTCAGGATGTGCTGAAACCAAATTGTGGTTCTCTAATTGAGAATGTGTTCTTGGTCTATAAGAAGAGAGTTCTGGAGTAAAGTAGCAGGTTCCCTTTTTAGTAGACACCTTCTGTCTGCTGTTGGAACACATCCATTGTATCTTCATCCTCCATTTCCAACTGTGCAGGTGTGTCTGTTTCGTTGATCCACTGCCCATCAAATTAGAATCTGATCTGACTCATTGACAATTCCCATCGTCCACAACAGGCTTTCATTAGTTCATTGGTCTACTAAGCGGTGTATGCCTCTTAAACTGCACCACAGAACCATCCCGCCCCACCACCTTCAAATTAATGTGATCATTGTTCTCAGTCTTGACTCCTTCCTTGGGCTTTTTTTTTTTTTTTTTTTTTTTTTAGTTCTGAAAACCCTGTTACCTGCTTTATTTCTGAAGAAGGGTAAGAAGAGAAAAGATTCATTCAGATTTGAGGGACAGCCAAACTGAAATCAACAGTAGCAACAATGTTAGGTCTCTGGTTTTTTTCTGATCCGTAAGAGGATACTGGAACTTGTTTGAAGATTGAGAAGTTTGAATTTTTCCCTAGAGCAAGATCATCCATTTTTGCT